GCGGCCTTTGTGTGAGTGTGTCCGTGCATTCGCCCCTGGCTATACGAGTTTGTGATGACCATGCTCCTACAACTCCAGTGCACCAGTTATCAGCACTGTGTGATGGCTTCCCCGGAAATGCAGCTCTACTTATAGCCAACGAAAAGACCGTTGTCTTCTTACCACTAGCTGGTCAATCTATTGCCTTGGTGGACAGCCATCGTTATGGTGACCTTGGTTCCCAAATATTACTTGGTTATCACAGTCGTTTAGAGCAATTTGTAGTTGCGTGCCAGAAAGTGCTCGATTTACATGATGACATTGTAATCTGTTGTTTATTTATTTTTAAGCCACGAGAAGTCAGACTTGATCATATCTCCATTTACAAGCCTAGTACACTGTATGGAACTTGTATTGAATTTTTATTTATTTCAGCGTGTTTGAAAGTCGCATTATATACATTTTAAGTATTATAATATAATTATTAATTATAAACAATGCAGAGAGGGTTGCGGCAACAATTATTGGCATTTTGTATCAAGTACTGAGGAAAGGTTTCTCCCCTACTTTTGTTTTGAGGGCGATCTATTCCATGAGTTGATCATCGGTCTTGAATATTGAAAATAAAGTATATGTTGTATTTATTAACCATAATTCTTTTTTTTTTTTTTCTGAGTTTTGTCTCGGAATACTTTTATTGATTCCCATTTTCTTTACTGTTTCTAACTGTAACGGTGACAGGGTGCAGCGAGGAGGAAAACAAGCAACATTTGCAATATTTTGTTCAGTGCACCTGCCTCCCGGCTGACTGCAATTTCCAAGTAGACTGTAAATTTCACGTTCACTTTAATATCAGCATTATTAAAATCGTCTATTCTACTTCAAAAACGTTCCTTTTATTTTGTTATCTTTGGAACCCTGTGGATCGTCTCTCTGAGGCCCCGGATACTTTTTGGTTCCTCAAAGCCGTTTTTAGGCATTCTGGGGAATACGCCTTAAACTCCTTGTATCAAGACAAGTTCTGTTTATATTAACAATAGGTGAATAAATCAGCTTGTGTAATAATAAGGTTTAGGATTATGCGACGGCTTTTCCGAGCGAGAAAACTGTTCGGGGCCTTCGAGAAAGGGGCCCGTGACCCGAGGCACTACATGCTGGAAAGCCTAGTTTTTGTAAAAATCTACCCCGTAAACTCTCATTTCTTTTCATCGTGTAGCCGTTAAGATACCAAAGGGAAGCTGGCTTTTTCCCCTGTAAGCGGTCAATTTACACCGTGAACTGACAAAATTTCTTAAGACTTGCAGATCCGTTGATAGGTCGATGATAAACAACCGTTTTCGATTTCTGTGATAGTTAAGCC